CGTCGTGTCAAAAACAGAGGATGACGAAGAGGAAGAGGAAGAGGAAGAAAAGTTGAGTTGGATCGTCGTTGCACTCGGCTTTGCACCAGGCCTTCTATTCGGAGTGACTCTCGGCCATATCGGGTTTTCGTATAAGCGCGAATGGCTGATGAAGATTTTCGGCCTGACTCGTTAACCCAGGTTCATGTCACTGTCAAGCCTTCTTCTCCGAGGTAACGTCTTTCCACGACATCCCTTGTATATATTCACTGTGTTCATCCATTTGAGACATTCATTAGTGATGTGTATTAATTTATTTGCTATATTTGGTGCCGTTCGCCGTCCCTCTGTAACAAAATAATTTATGTTTTATGAAGAAATTTGGCAAAACGCAAGAGTCTTCATTATCTCATCTCACTTCTCTATGCCAAAAATATAGAACGATCCATTTAACCGGATTCAAGTATCTTAGAACGTGTTACCAAACCAAAATGATGATGAACTGAGCGTATATATAACCGAATCATTCCTGTCTGAAACTCCGATAAAAAATTCTGCAAAAGTTTCTCCAGAGATTACACAGTATCAAGCTTTCGACTTCTTTCCCTTGCCCTCAGCAGTGACGGGCTTGGCCTTGAAGGGAAAAAACGTCTTTCCGCCCATGAACGGCTGCAGGACCTCGGGAACTTGCACGCCGTCTTCCGTCTGGTAGTTCTCCAGGATGCAGCAGATGGTCCTCTCCGTCGCCGTCAGGGTCGAGTTCAGCAGATGCACGTACTGCTTCGTCTGCTCATTGCTCTGCTTCATAACATAGAAAAGTCTACGACGTTAAAACATCGCTCCAATGGTTACGCTATTGAGAGAAACATCAAATACCTGCGATATGGGAAAACAAGTTAATTTTCGCCAATATACAAATACCTTTTTCTGGCCATATCGGATCTCAAGGCTTCGTGCTTGGTAATCTGCACAGTTGGAGCAGGAGACGAGCTCTCTGTAAGCCTCGGAAGCTGGGAACCACGCCTCCAGATCAAGTTTTTTCGCAGCCGCATCGTTCAGAGCTCCAGAGACGATGGCCACAACTCGGTAAGGAAGCTTCAGCTGCAGATGAAACAGAGTAAGAGCTGTGGCAATGACACTGAAGGCCTTGGAATGACACCGAAGGTGTTAGAATATCAGTAATTGTACCGCCTGATAAAATTCCTCAGAGTTCTTGATCATCTCCTCGTGCATATCCCATGAATCGTTCCCATTAGGGCTGGTGATGCAAAACTGTTCGACTTTCTCAAACTGGTGAACTCGGAAAATACCCAGTGTGTCTCTTCCATGGGACCCGGCTTCCTTCCTGAAGCAAGACGAGTAACCTGCGTATCTGTGAGCAACATGAAACAGGGGAAATGTGAGAGACCGTTTCTACATATAGCTAAATCAATCAAGACCGGAAATCAAAACACCAACTTGTACTCTTATATATCGTATACCTAATTGGGAGCTCTGATGGATGAATCCAGTCTTCAAGGTGATATGCACAAAGCGGCTGCTCAGCTGTCGCAATCAGATATTTATCATCTCCTTCACCGGTCACCTGTTCAAAGAACAATATAGAAGGCGATGTTTATATGCATGTCTGAGTCCGAGAGACAGAGAGAGAGAGAGTATTTTATTGACCTTGTAAAGCTCTTCATCGAACTGAGCCAACTGAGCGCACTTAGCCATAACTTCCTTCCGCATGAAGAACGGAGTTTGCAGACACGTAAATCCTCTCTTCTCCAAGAAGTCGAGGCCAAAGTTGATAAGCGCTTGGTTAAGGCGAACGCCATCTCCCTTCAGATAAAAACCTCTTCCTCCTGCAACCTCACAACCTGCACTACTGCCCATATGATATCAAACCACATGCTTTACAAGACACAAAATAATAAAAGAAAAAAAACAAACCTTTCTTGGAATCAGCAATGCCAAGAAGCTCGACAAGCTCAACATGGTTCTTCAACTTCTGGCCACTCGTAGCTACACCCCAGTGTCTAACCACTGAGTTGTTAGCCTACAAAGAAATCGGGTATAAGAGAAAAATGTATATCTTTCTTTCC